TTATTTAATATCCCCCCTATCTAGTCAATTAAGACCACTCTAGGCGGCTTATATAACATATGCTATATTCTCTATTCATGTTTGTTTCTGGGCCCAATCATAAAACATTTTCCAGCTTTCTTTAACATATATTCTTGGGTTTTCACATAAAGCTATCAATTTCTGCAATATCCAATAATTTTTTTATATTGCTCCTCCATCTTCAGATTTTCCTCATTTTTCCATTTTTATTTTTTATTTTTTATTTTTGGGCCCAGCAGTGACTTGAAAGGCTTAGCTAAATGGAGATAAAAAATGCAAATGGATATATTTTCCAGGGGCCTGGAAGCAGCTTTTCCCAGGCACCAAATAATTATTACATTTCTATGCTTGCTGCCTTTCTCTTGGCAAAGGGACCCAGTGATTCTATACACCCTGTAACCAAAAAAAAAAAACCTTAAAAAATGTTGCATCTATATTACAAAAGGAATGTTATCTCTCACTACCTTACTATGGTCACTTAATAGTTACACCCAGTTATTGTAAAAATGAACAAGTTGACTGACTTTTTTTTTTCTTTGCCACTGATTATCTGGAAACAACCATTGAGGCAGGAACTTTGCCAGAGGTGTTCATAGATTGTAAAGAGATGTAAACTCAAGAAATTGTGATTCACTCCCTCTGAAGAAGTTTAATCATCACTTTCCTCAGACACTGCATTCCAGCAACTCTTCAGCTCTGGAAATCCTACTCTTTTTTTTCCCTTTCATTTCAGCAGCCCAGCAGAAAGCATGATATGCGACCAGCACCCTGGAATGCACATTCCTGATTAAGCTCTTCCTGAGATTTGGGTTCTGGGACCAGCTCCCACCTTGCCAACATATTTCACCATTCAGTGGCCTTAAAATAGTATAACACTGCTGGCCATTGGCTTGTTTCTTGAGACCATACTGATACTTTTTTCTTCGACATGTGCTGGCAAGGTGCTGATTCTGGATTTCCATTGCCTGCTTAGGCAAAGCAGTATTTGTTCTCCACATTCTAAATACACTTATTTTATTTTATTTGCTTGGAATAGGTACTTCCTCTTCTCACACCAGAAGGCATGCAGAATAACTGTAGGTATTATGAATAGCAGGTGTGAGACGTGTGTCGTCCACAAGTCACATTCCTCTATTCAAGTGCATAAAGATCATATGAACAAGGCCATGGGACCAAACGTGTTCAGTGCAAAGGTATGAATCAAGATTCATTTCAGGAATTACACTCACATTACTGTGCCCACAAAGCCAATTTAGAGTGAGGGTATGATGCAGTAGTCTCACACTTTGGGCTTGTGATGATACCACGAAGTCAAAGCTTACTTACCACAAAATACATTTGAGTACGGAAGGTGCTTCTTTTCTTCTGAGTGGGCAAAAAATGTCAATCTTCCTTGCACAGCATGAAAGAACACCACAGAAGAGGGTGATTTTCATATGGGACAAATATTTCATGAAAGGTTTCTGCCCCATTTTGGTACAAACTAGTATAAGCCAGCTTTTAATACACCTGTTTTTGTCTAAAACACATAGTTTTGTATCACATCAGCATTGGGTGTGCAGCTGGTTTGTCTTCTTCAAACTAGATGAAAAAAAGGGCTTTCAGGACTTAAAGGATCAGTAACAAATGTTTTGACAGAATGTTGTGGATTGTGGATAAGACTTCTGTGATGACAGTGATAACAAACTCAGAGAACAATTTCTCCCATCCAGTTCTGTTTGACTCCTTTACCAGCTCCTGCAACTGCTAGGAAAAGGGCTGCAGATGTAAATCTCTACCCACTCTTCAGTTTTGGTGAGAACACACCCACCCACCCAATACACTATTTGCAGTAGGATGGAAGCTCTAAACCTTACTGTCCTAAAACTCTTCCACACTTTGACTATGCAATGCTAATAATGACTCGAGGTTGGGACTGGTTTTATTGCTATAAAATGATGAGAAAGAGGGGCTCTGGAGAACAAGAAACAGAAAAGATGCCTTCTTCCTTGTCTTCCCTCCTGAAACATCCTTCTGTTTTGCAGTAAGAATTTTTATATTTTATTTCATGGCATGCTCCCCCCCCCTCTGTGAATTTAAGTACTGTATTAGAATTATGAGTTTGAAAGCCTTCATTTGTAAAAACTGCTTTCCCATAGCTTTATCTCAGTTAATCAAAACTTTTAAAAAGCAGTGCACAAGAAACGATGTGTTGGTTAAATAGAAGTTTATTACATGCTGCCTAAATAAATCAATGCAATACGCTGAATCATCTAATGACAGACACACAACTGACCTTAAACTTCAGATTAGTGTAACCGCTTATACATCATGAGTGCATTTTTTGTTTCTAAAGTCAAAGGTTTCATAAACAGAAATCATTACTTAAACCACCCGTCAGGCAAGAGCCTAAAGCATCTGAAAGCTAAAGCAGCATAAACAAAAGAACAGAGAATCTCAGCCAACGGTTAGCAGTAGAGCCGAGTTTTACTTTGAGCCAGGAATTATTTGGCACCTCCAATGCCTTCCCAGATATGAAATGTAAAACGTGAAACAAAAGTTAGGCCAGCACTGCCACAAGCTGCATACATTAATTAGCACACTTAATGCTTTGGTGCTCACTGCAAAGAAAATTAATAGTCCTCCTAAGACAATGCATGAAGCAGAGGAAACCCTGAGGAGTACCTATGTGGCATGCCGTGTGTTCTTTGAAGAACACTCAGGGCTCTTGGAAATGCCACATGTCCTGGCCTATCGGGGACAGGCCTGCCCCATTTCCCACATCAGTTGGGAACATCGTGTCAGGGAACGTGGTAGGGTCCAAAGGCATGGCTGTGCCAGCAGCATCCACAACTGGGAGCCCTTCTGGTGCTAGTGGCCCCCCTGTAGCTTGGGGTTCCCCTAATGGTCCTTTGCTCTGGCCAGCCGGATGCAGGAGATAGCTGTTGGCATTTGGTGAGGCACCAATAGCTGGATTGCCCTCTAGGGGGCTGATAGGGTTCCCCTTGCCTGCAGGATTGGCCCCAACATTAGCTCCGCCTTTTACATCAGGCTGTTCAGTGATGCCGAGTTGATCATCTTCAACCGTGTAGTCGCCTGGCTGGTTCAGCGCCATGTGTCGTAACCTAGCATCTGTGGCAAAGAGATCAGGGCCCGGGGCCTGGTAGGCTGGGGGACCAAATCCACCACCCTGTGGAGGAAAAACATGTATTAACTGCAATGGCTTTACATTCCCCACATGCCCACAGCTAATATGTTTTACAATGAATATATTGCCACAGTTAGAACCTCTGGGTCAGTTTGTAAAACTGGGTTCTCAGATGTTGAAGGACTACAGCTGCCAGAAACCGTAGGCAGGACTTCTGGGAGCTGAAGAACTAATCATGGGAGCCCCTGTTCTACATAACTCTAACTGTTGATAATGTTGTACTTACTACTGATATAGTATCACTGTCCTGGTGGCCAGGAGGGGACAGGAATACTTGTTTCATATGTTGCTGTTTTTGGAATGAGACGGGTGCCTTTGCTGCCTCCCTTTCCTCTGTAAAATAGCTTCCCCAAAGGGCCATCCTTCAGATAAACTGAACAAGAAAAGCCCATCATGTCCAGCCAACACAGATAAATGGGATGGTGGGAGTTGTCCTCTGACATTCTGGAGGATGCTGGCTTGGGGGGGGGAATGATTTAACACCATATAGCCATGTTAACAAAACCAAAGGCTTTCATGGCCAGGATCTGATGATTGTTGTGGGTTTTCTGGGCTGTTTGACCATGTTCTGAAGGTTTTTCTTCCTAACGTTTCGCCAGTCTCTGTGGCCGGCATCTTCAGAGGACAGGAGTCAGAACTCTGTTCTGACAGAGCACAGACAGAGTTCTGACTCCTGTCCTCTGAAGATGCCGGCCACAGAGACTGGTGAAATGTTAGGAAGAAAAACCTTAAGAACACGGCCAAACAGCCTGGAAAACCCACATCACTGTATATATTTCCTTGATTCTGCTGCACATCATCATCATCTGTTACTAATAGGAGTTGTGATCTCAATGTTAGAACATCAAGGCCAAGACACATTTATTCCTGATGTTATGGAAGGAAATGGGAAAATTAACAAGCGAGACCTTCTACTCTTTTTGGCATGTGCTGATATGTGTTCTGCTCTTTGATGCAAGAAAAGCAGAAAACGAATTTCCTTCACTTAGGTGGCACTCCTGTATCCATTTACCTGGCTATAAGTCATGCCCAGTTCTTTCAATCTTTCCTCAGAGGGCTTGGTTTCTATTCCCACGACCATCCTTGCTGCCCTCCTCTGAACTTGTTCCAGTCCGTTGGCATCCTTATTAAAGTGCAGTGTCCAGAACTGGACACAGTACTCAAGATGAGGCCTAACCAGTGCCAAATAGAGGGGAACTAGTACTTTACAGAATAGGGGCCCTATGCTTCTGTTAATGCAACCTAAAATAGCATTTGCTATTTTTTGCAGCCACATTACACTGTTGGCTCATATTCAGCTTGTGGCCTACAAAAATTCCAAGATCCTTCTCGCTTATGGCATTACTGAGCCCAGTGACCCCCATTTTCTAACTGTGCACTGGATTATTTTCCCCCTAGGTGTAGAACTTTGCATTTATCCCTATTAAATGTCATTCTGTTGTTTTCAGCCTAGTGCTTGAGCCTATAAGATTCTTTTTGAATGTTGTTCCTGTCTTCCAGGGTATTAGCTATCACACCCAATTTTGTGTCATTATCTCCAATTTATACCAGAGCATTGGTATTTTTGGCAAGGTATTATGGAAGGTGAGGTGTAACATCAGAGGGGCTACAATTCTCCCACCCCTGATTTATAGCACAATGAGTTTTTGGGGAATGGAATTTCATAGTTCAAGGAATGTCATGTTCACCACCTACCTGCATTTCTTCTGAGCTTACTATTCCTAATCTGCCAGGAGCAGCCTAAGAACAACAGAAACAAACCATGTGTCATTAATGAATCATTCCAGACCAATACATGCCCAGTTGAACCCCTTCATTTTAGAGTGTCGCAGACCCATTTTTTCATTGACTGTAGCAAAGTCACACACATAGCCATCGTTGTTCACGATGTGCCGATCACGGAAGTAGCCCAGCCAACACTTTGCCACTTCCCTGCATGGCCAACCACTCAGCAGCTAAGTGGGGAGACTCATCATCCCACACCCAGAGTGGTCAGCCATGCAGGGAAGCAACGGCTGAGCTACTTGCATAGTTGGCACATCGCTAATGACAGCCACGTGCACTGCGCAGCATGAGGTGGGTGGGCTGGCTGGTTCTGGGGGGAGGTTTCAGGTGGACCAGGCTCCTGCAGTGCTAATATTTGTATTCATTTCCATGGGAGACAAATGTGAACATTCCATGTCTAGCTCAGACTAAAACAATCCAGGGTAGATCAATTGGCCCTGTGGAATTGGAGTTACCTGCCTCCACAGGCTTCTGGCTGCAAAAGTTATCCATTGTCTGCCATCTTATGTCTCAAATGGATGATTTTTATGGGGGCGTAGGGTTCCACAGGCTTCTGGCTGCAAAAGTTATCCATTGTCTGCCATCTTATGTCTCAAATGGATGATTTTTATGGGGGCGTAGGGTTTGGAGTTACCTCCATTGGCTTCTGGCTGCAAAAGTTGTCCATTGTCTGCCATCTTATGTCTCAGATGGATGATTTTTATGGGGGCGTAGGGTTTGTTTGTTTTCTTTTAATATGTTTTATTTATTTTATATGGTTTTAATAATATTTTGCAAGCCGCCCAGAGTAGTGGTCAGTTCACTAAATGGGCGGGGGTATAAATCTAAATAAATATCCATTGGCTTCTGGCTGCAAAAGTTGTCCATTGTCTGCCATCTTATGTCTCAGATGGATGATTTTTATGGGGGCGTAGGGTTTGTTTGTTTTCTTTTAATATGTTTTATTTATTTTATATGGTTTTAATAATATTTTGCAAGCCGCCCAGAGTAGTGGTCAGTTCACTAAATGGGCGGGGGTATAAATCTAAATAAATAAATAATAATATAGGCTTCCCTGCTTTCTAAAATATTGCTGTATTGTGGAGAGAAATCATGTACTCTGCTGAGTTCTGCTTTCCTCCATTGCAAATGTTAGCCCTTTTAAAATTAAAAATCTGAAAACCATAGTATACAAGGGTAGATTCAATGATCACGCTAGTGCTTTTTCTCTGACATTTGAGTCGCTGCATTCATTTTAATGTAGACAGATAAATAGAGGCAAACTCTATATGGAAAAATTATTTCCTGCATTCTGTCACATTTTTGCTTCCTAGTATCACTTAAAAGAGAAAGGGATTATACAAAATAAATGTTGGAATACCAATAACTCAAAATCATATCAGAAAATGTGCATCTATTTTTTTTTCCGTTGAAGTTTTAGAAAAGTCAGCTCATGAATTAGCAAAAGTCATCTAGGGCAGAGAGCTACTTAACAGTCCTGGGTGGACACATAAATTGTGTGTTTGTGATGCAAAACTTTGTGAGCCCAGTGGTAAAGTGGTTAAAGTGCAGTACCACGGCCAAGCCTCCACTCATGACTTGAGTTTGATCCTGGTGGGTTGAGACAGCTGGCTCAAGTCTGACTCAGCCTTCCATCCTTTCCAGGTCAGTAAGATGAGTACCCAGCTTGCTGGAGGGACAAGGTGTTGTGTCTTGCAGTATATTATTTCTGGCCTCTTAGCTATAACTTCTCTCATTCAGTTCTGTCATGGCATGTCCCTCATTTGGAGTCAGTCATTCAGAAAGCTTTTGCTGGCAAAGAATGTGTAAACCAGCTGTAACTCTTTAACTAGGGGATAGGTGGTGCATGCCTTTAAGTCATATATCCAATATTTAAGGAGTGATTTTAACAGTGCCCACTCAAATTTCCATGGCCGAACAAGGGTTAATCCCTCAAGTCCCAGTCTCTGGGATAATTTTATGCTGGAGAAGTTATAGATGTGAAATCTCAATATGTTTGCTTACTCCGTTGGAGAACATTTTTTCCCCAGGTGTGTTCCTTTAATTGAGTAGTTGACATTCAAACTTAACTCAGTGGCTCCCACCAAGTTTCATGAACCAAATTGTGATCAGAGAAATGATGCAGGGAAGAGGTGAAGGAAACATTGGGATTGGCAAGAGTAGAAAGGGATGCTGTCCTTTATTGTGGGGTGTCCCCCTTCACGGGTGGCCCACTTAGTCCATAACTATGGATGAAAGCTAAGTGTTTCACTTGAGGACAGTTTTGTCGCAGAAATAAAGTTTATCTCTCCGACCAAGTACTGGGTAACCCTGCTCTCTCTCTCTGTGGGCATGGGTGTGTGAGTATAAGAGAAAGGCTTAGGCCCTGGGGCCAAATCTGGCCCTTTGGGGGCTCAGACAAGATCTCTGGAGTTCACCAAAGGGCCACAACCTCTTGATTCAATGGGACTACTTGGTAGTTTCCCAGCTTTTCTCTGTGGCTTTTTTTCATGTTCAAAAAGGTCCCTCTTTAAGGCTGAGTTACCAGCAGTAAAATCCTTAAACTGAAATATGCTGGCATTTTAGGTACCCTTGGCCATTGCCTTGCCCACCACCAGAATATGGCACCCAAGAAATTCTCTGGGAGTTCCTTGTCTTACTATAGAAATAAGGATTTCAGTAGTTGTAAATGAACAGAAGATACTTACTCCTTGGTTTGCTACATACGGCATGTAATACAAGTTTGGATAAATCTAGACAAAGGAAATAAATAATTAACAAAAGAGGTTAGTTATAAAAAGCAATAGTTTTTTTGTGTGAAGTAAACAATTAAAAAAGGGGAAAGGATACTGACTTTTTAGACCAGACCAGTGGCTTGCCTGAGTCCACAAATTGCTCCCAATGGTATTCATAGCAAACTATTCAAAGCCAGGAGAGGGCAACTTGTGATCCTCTAGATATGGTTGGACCTTTAACTTTCTTCAGCCCTAGCCAGCAGAGGTGAGGGAAAATGGGAGATGATGTCCAAATAATATTAGTCCCTTTTCCCTCTCTCCCAGAAAGTGTGGCCCTCAGGCTTCCAACAAATTGGAAAAATGTTCCTTGGCCATGGCAAGACTCCTCCCTCTTGCTGTAGGACACCCAACAGTAAATACTAACAATAGTAATAATTAAGAAATAGAGTTTCTCTTTACTGTTGCTGAGTGCTCTACTGGCATACCAAGCAAGCATATGTGCATGTGTGCATTCATCTAATAGATAAAAGGAAGCCATCTGACTGCTATGTTTGTCCATGTGTCATTTCAGTTCATTGAGGATGACAGAGAAAGAACTAGTACAGCGGTCTTGCATATTTCCTTGATGTTGTCCAAGACATCTTGGACAAAAAGTCATGTCCAGTTGACGAGTCAGTGTGGCAAAAGGGAAATCGATACTGGCGGTAGGACTCCATTTTAAGAATCAACTTACAGATTGCTGTGGTGGTGGTTGTGCTTGGTCTTGCTGGTTTCCATGCAAACCTAGGTAGATCTGGGAAAATGTGGAAAAAAATCAAAATTGTGGATGGATTCCTAGTTGTCGCTCCTATCATAAACTGAACATTAAAGGTTCGTGTAATACCCAACAAAGTTGTGCCTGTGTAATTCAAACTGAACATTAAAGGTCCAGGGACTTACATGAGTTAAATGAAAGCCCAGGCAAATGCTGTGTTGGGCTGCATTGCTAGTGGAAAGCCAAGTTTAAGAGATATTGATTTTCACAACAGCAAATAAGTCCATTGCTTCCTAAGATTAGATTTGAAATTTAGTCTTTAGAGCACGTAGTCCATATTCTAACATTGTAGCCCCATAATAATGTTTTTTATCCTCCTTTGGGAAATGATAAGGCCATAAACCTAAACTAGATTCTCTTAAACATGTGTGTGTGAGAAATTCACATGTCTGAAGTGTTTTTAAGGTTTTACTTAAGCCATTCCTCCCAGAATGAATGCAGAAACAAATACAATTTCTTCTCCTACATCTGTATATTTCTGGGTTTGCAATGTATGACACAAAATAATTTACATATATTTGGATAATATATAAAAACAATGGCTGAAACTCTGTCATGTATTTACGTGAGCATAATTCAACCTTACAACCCACAGTAGCTACAATAGCACCAAGATGGGAATGCTATCCTCTAAGCACTTCCACCAGTGCATTGTCCAATTGGTCATGACGGAGAACATACAACTGATGGGGCAATTTAATTGTTCATGCAATACCCAACAAAGTTGTGCCTGTGTAATTATGTTATGCAGAGATGAACTGGATTCCAGCCACTTTGTACATGTCCTAGATGCACACAAACAAGTTTCAGGGTTGGAAAACCTGGATTAGAAACCTGGATAGATTTTTTTTTAAAGAAACCTGGACAGATTTTTTAATGATTTTTTTTTTCCAAAGGGAACCAATATGAGATGACGTTGAATTCAGAAAAGACAAAGACAGGACAAGAGATGAAAAGTGAGCAGCAGAAGAAAAAAGGTCTGTAGAAATGGTCTACAGACCATCTGCCCTTCACAGTTGGGGATGGACTGACATTTTCAGTTCTATAGAAAGATGATTTCTCTACATCTTTACAAGAACTGGTTAGGTTATCCTAGGCTGGAAATCAGCCCAACATGCTTGCTGTTAACAGCTCAAGTTTCAAAAATTACATTGAAGAGATGAGCAGAAACAAACCTATGGAGAGGGTTTCAAAATGAATGCCTCTTGGAAGCAATAAAAGGTCAGGCTTTTTGATGTTGGTCTTATTTAATTTGCGGTATTAGTCAAATACTAGCAGGGATGTTGGTGCCAACCTGGGTCATCCTCGTGTCGCCTCCATGGGTGGGCCCCCCAGCAGTGGAACCCTAGTTGGCATTGCCTTGGTAGTGACAGTTAGGTGCAGCAGTAGCACCTGCATACTAGACCTTCTTTTTGCCTGTGCTGCTACTGGCACCGGCCATTTTAATCCATCCACAACGTTTCTGGAGCCCTGGCACCATGTTGTTCTGCATGCCAGTATGCCTGTGTCCAAAGAGCATTATAGAGGAACTTGAACCATATGCACCATCTGCAACCACTCAGGCTACAATGCTGATAGGAGCCACCGCTTGAGTTCCTCCCGAGGCCTCAAGCCCACAAGCACCTACCCCAGCAGTGTTGACCCTGATGCACTAAATACTGCAAGCAACCATGTCTGAGAATGTTCAGATGGACTCATCTGCCTAGAGCAAAGCACACGTCAGTGTTTTCACCCAACTGTTTTTTAAGTTGAAACTATAATTTCCAGCTAGGGCAGAAGCATGTCAAGAGAAGTTCCAGGAATCTCAAGGAGAAACATAGCATAACTGGGGTATACACAGGCCATGCTTAATCCACTTTTCCCTAGCCCAATGTACAATGATCTTTGTATGAGATTAATGTCTTGCCTCTGTTCTCCATTGATTTGCTTTCTTGTTAAAAGGGTAATAACAGGTGCCTTCTAACATGATATACACACAGAAAAGGAAAGGTATTTTAAATCATTGGTGTCTGTTTGGGGTAACTGATCATGTTTTGGGTATTTATATCCAACTTGACCAAAGTCCATAGTACTGCCTGCCAGTGTTGCACATCCTCATATTCCTTTCTGCAACTGATGTTCTATGACTAGGTTTCCTGACCACCACATACCATCTAGGACACTCCTGATTGGATCTGATATTGGAAGGATAACAATGCTTGATGAATACCAGGGCTGTCCAAGGAAGAATCCTTCCTGAAACTCTGGAAAAATACTGCCAGTCAAAGTTGACAAGTCAAAGTTAGAAGGATCAGTACCAGGTACAGTGGTGCCTCACTTGATGATGTTAATCCATTCCAGCGAAATCGCTGTAGAGAGAAATCATCGTCAAGTGGGGGGGAAAACCCATTGAAATGCATTAAAAACCGTTTAATGCGTTCCAATGGGCTAAATACCTAATCATCCAACAAAGATCCTTCATAAGGCGACCATTTTCTGGTGCCTGTCTTGCGAAAATTAAGTCCTGAAAATAGCAGGGAGCCATTTTGCACAGCGGGTGGCCATTCTGAGAGCTGCTGATCAGCTGTTTTCAGATCATTGTAATGTGAAGAATCTGTTCCCAAAGCAGGGAACCGATCATCATAAAGCGATTTTTGCCCATTGAAACATTGTTTTGCGATCGCAAAAGCGATCACAAAAACCTCATCGTCAAGCAGATTTGTTGTTTAATGAGGTAATTGTTAAGCGAGGCACCACTATATTATAAAGATAGTTTCCTGTGCTTCAGGCTTTGGGTCCTGAGTTTCCAGATTCAAGAATCAAACTTGAAGGCCTCCCACCTCTACGAGTGGGCTTGGAAATGTATACTGTATACGGTCTGTGTATAAACTGACCTGTTGAGTTTGTCGGTCCAAGGGTGGCCGCTTCTTCTGTGGAACGACAGGCTGATTCCCTTCTGGTAATGGTGTCTGCTGAAATGGTGGCTGCATCTCATACTGTTGGAGTTGGGCTTGCATGGTAGGAGTGAGATCAGTGAATTGGTAGTGAGGTTGCTCTGGTATTCCAGGCCGTTGAAGCAGAGTGGGTGTTTGCTGAGATGGCAGTGGAGGTGGATGCACTGGCATAGTGTATTCATACTGCAGGGCCAAGAGAAGACAAATAGCGTGGAGTGGGGGAAATGAAGGGCTTCGGGGCACACTGGAAAGTGGTACATTCATTTAAAACACACACACACACACACACACACACACACATTGCATCTGATGAATTAGGTTCTTACCTACACAGTTTCAAGCTATAATTTGTTTGCTCATTCATTTCATAGCTGCCGTGCAATTTCAGTTTGGAGACAAGTGTAATTTAGGAAAAAATAAGTAATGACTAACATCTACTGTTCATTTATTTATTTGATTTATATGCTGCTTTTCTCCCAGAAAGTCTGAAATAAATGAGACATCTACTTGTGCTGCCTTCAGTGGGATTTACCTATGACTCATACTTTCACAGTCGTGACATTCGTCTGTTTGTGGCGCCTGACTAATCCTAGCCGTCTCCTGAATTATGTTCTCAAAAGCCATTTAAATCACAAAGAAATATACAACAGTCTGCAAGAGGTCACCTCCATAAAAAGAGCTAAGCTGCGGAGGACCAATGAAGGAAACCAACTGCCTGGAAACAATGGCCGGGATCCAATGGGATGCTACTGGAGCAACACAACAACAACAAAACAAAAAGAAACAAGAGCACCTCAACTAGCACAGGTTGCATGAACCAGTCCACAAACCTGCCCAGTTTGTGATTTTTTTTTTGTAGTTTGCAGTCCAATTCATGACCATCTCTATTAGCAGCTAGAAGCTCTGGCTTTAATCAGATCACAATTTGATTCTGCTACGTCTGAATAAACTTCAGCTTTTGAAAAAAAAAGTTTCATGTCTTTGGAATTAGCACAATTGCACAAACTGCAATTGTTCCTTTCCTAATGTGCATGTAGCAGCTTTCA